AGATTTGTCGAAATTTATTTTCCATCCTAGAAATTGTAATAAACTTACAGTCTCCTCTCCTTGTTTCTGTAGTAGGTGCGGGTTTTGATTTGCGAGGAAAAAATCGTCGAGATATACTAAAATTCTCATACCTCGGCTTCTCAGATAACTGGCAACCCAGTTTGTGAGACTCGCAAACAATTGAGGAGCTGTTGCTAGTCCGAACGGCAGGCAAGTCGTATTGTACACCTTTCCTTTGTATGCGAATGCTAGAAATCTCTGATGGGATCTTTTTATCGGCACATGAAAGTACGCCTGTGAGAGATCGAGTTTGATCAATTGATCGTTTTTCTGCAAGAAATTTGGCACTTTGTGATGACTCACCAATTGGAACTTCTTTGTACACAAGAACTCGTTCAGTCTTTTTAGGTTTAAAATTGGTCGACAAGTTCCATCTGGCTTTGGTATTGTGAACATTGTGGAGAGAAAACCTGAACTCATTCCTGTTTCTATTATGATATTTTGTTTCACCATTTTGTCTAATTCTTTGTCCAATTGAAGTGAAATTTTTGTGATGAATTGAGATATGATTTTTTGATCGAACGGAACAAGGGGTGGCTTCTGCTTGAATGGTATTGAATATCCTTTTAAAACTTTCACCAGAGTTTGTGGAGCCCCTAGTTGTATCCAATGGTCTACGTAATTCCCCAATTGTCCCCCCTGAAATGTTCCCATTCGATGATTGTCAAAAACGACGATTTTTTGAATGCTTTTCCTTATTTTTGTCTCCCTTACTCTCTCTTTTATAGTCTTTGTTCGCATCATCTCTGAATCTTGGTTTGAAAAAAACCTTTGTCTTTCTAGCTTGACTTTGGTTTTTACCGGAGTATGTATTCGAACGAAATTTATGGCTGCTAGCCGAACCAAATGCCTTCTTGTGTTTGAATACCGCACGATAATTATTGTCATGTTGCGGAAGGACTTCTGCTGCCAGCTTTTCATCAAATAAATGTGTTTCAGATGGAGGAATATTCTGAAGCATTCTGGCAGCAACCGAATTGAGTGGTTTATATAAGTTTCGACGTGATTCAATAATCTCTGCACGTTTTCCACAAACATACTGCAGAATATCATCAGACGTCGATCTGAACTTTGAGTCCGGATCTATGAATTTTTGTTTCATCTCTCCTGCTAACGCTGGATGTTTACCAACAACTTCTTGAATAGCTTCCTGAAAAGCTTTCCTTTGCACTAGCATTCCATGCAATAATATTCCGAAGGAAGAATCCATTTTCGCCAAAATGTCTGGAGTACTACCTTTAGGGATCAAATGGGAAAGCTGGTGATTCACTTGCAATTGACTGAATACCCCTCCTGCATGTAACCTCTTTTGAACCTCCAAATACCTGATCTTATTCCACGATGATTCGCCTAATCTTTGGCATTTAATTCCTTGCTCCTTAATATCTGGCAACGGATCCGGAATAGATGGTTCTTGTTCTTTCGTTTGTGGTTCAAACGATAGAATATTTCCTTGATCCCATGCGAAGTGAGGCGCATTCCATTCTGAAGCAATCGGAGAGCTCCTATCAGAGGAAGCACAACTCTCTCCTTCTGAAACGTTTCCATACATTCCATGTCTATTTGCTTCTTTGTGCTCTACCATCCTTTCCAACAATGCTTCCATTCTTGATTGACGCATTTCTAACTCGTCCCTTCTAGATTTCTTTGATGTCGAAGGTTCTTCTAGAATGTTCGGGTGATATTTCCTCTTATGGGCTTCTATGTTTTCCTTTTCCGCTTGTTGATCATCTTTATCTTCATCCTCTTCTTCCGTTTCATATTCCGAAGTTTCCTTAGCCAACTGCAAAGAAGCTTCTTGTCTCGATATCAAAAAAGGTATCAAAGGGAGTATTGCTTGTAGAACAAGTTCATATTGCAGAACAGAACCTCTTATTTTTCTTGCCAACTCAGGAGGACTGTAAATTAGACCTCTACAGAAGGGCCATCGCAACATTTCTTCTTTGTGAGCCCGAAAAGACTTTTCTGATAATAATTTTGCCTCCGGATTGAAAGCTTTAGCTATACCCACGGTTGGTAAGGCAAATCTCAATTTATTCATCACCTGTGGGTCCAATTTCAACTCCTCTGTAGCATAAGGTACCATTATTTGCCATTCCTTCCACCCCTGTGGTAAATAGTCCATAGCTAGCTTCTTAATTCTTTCTAAAGTAGCATTTTCTTCTCCTTCTAATAATTCTGCCAACTTTATGACTTCTGACGGTAATGCCATCTAGAAAGAATAGAACTTATCAGCAAAGAACACGCATCTTTGGATATGGAAGTTATGACAACGTTCCTTTTTTACTCAAAAAACATACAGAGCTGTTCTGATGAAATGATGGCAGACATGGTCGTACCACAAATAACAAGAATAAATAAATATTTCTTCTCTTATTCGCTCTTATGTCGAGCCGTCGGCTGCACCATCAAGCCGTCGGCTCCTAAATCAAGCCGTCGGCTCCTAAATCAAGCCGTCGGGCGTCGACTCCCAAATCAAGCCGTCGGATTCTCCATTGAGCCGTCGGCTCAAACGTCGAGTCGACGGTTCATTTATTCAGCCTTCAAATGACGTCTAATGTCATTGCACTGATATAAATATCATTCTGATAAACCTCCTTTGAATAATTCATTCTATACCTAATGTTAAAACAGTACACCAACATATTTCTTACCTTGGATCCTTATTCTGCCAATTTTTCGTCCAAAATTTCCAAGTTTTTGTCACTGACAGCAATACACACCGTTTCACTCAGAAAACCAAAGCGTACTGAGAATGCATATGCACTAGCCGGCCAAGATCAAGAAATGTGACAGATGATTGTCACCTGCATTGCCATAAAAGAGGAGGATTGGACAAAATACACACTGCTACACAAGGAAAGCAAAAGGGTAATCTCAGATGGGTCAAGCGGAAGCACAGACACGAAATAATAGATTTATGTTCTTTTCGCAAACGCACGACACTGACTGTAATTAGCAAAACCATCCGCGGCAGATAAGGAATTCCAGTCAGCACAGGTAATATTCACCATATTTCTACAGCCGGTATTCGACTCAGAGTATTGGGCTACCGCAGGTTTCACGCTGTTTTTATACCAGTACTGTTTATCAGTTTGAACACAATTATAACATATATGCATTCCACACTCGGTGATCTACAAACGAACAACACTGGTATACTTTATATTTTTTATGCTGTTCCAATTAGGAATAGAAGGACTATACATAAAAAGTTGAGATAGGGACATGGAAACCGTTTTGACCAATCATGGATAGTTATGACACAAAAAACTTTCAAAGTTGAAAAATCTCGATTTTTTCGCTTTTTCGCTAGACCTCAAGTGTGCTCTTCAGGGAGAATCTGAAAATGGAATAATATACAGGGTGTCCCATTTGAAAAATCAAAGTTGTTGCTACTTTTCAATATAAGCGGCAACGTCGCAACACTGAGAATATTTTAGGTTGATGAAACACAACTAATTATCCAAGGCACCAACTTTTGCGTTCTCCAGAAACGTCTAATGTGCCATCCACCGTGAATCAGCCTGTATATATAGCAAGTTGCAGAATGGAACATTTTTGCACATGGAGTGCGAATAGCTCACCATTTTATTTTTTATTTGGGACAACCTGTATTTCATTGTTCTAATCGGAAGGGCTCTTTCTTCTGATTTCTAACATACCATTACAGGGTATTCCTTAATGATATGCTAATATTCAAGGGGCCGATTCTTCGACCCATTCCAAGAATAAAAGTTCATAATATGAACATAATATGTCGTAAACGTCCTAACTTTTGAGATGCAGGGTATCAATGTTGAAAATATGCAGATTATTTTTTGTCCACCCTGTATAGCTTTTCGTGATGGCAAAATTCAGTCTGCTATGTGACTGAATCGGTATACAAATTTCAAAATGTTACATACGGTGGTTATCCAGTAATGGATGTCCTAAATGGAGAACTTTAACATCAAAATTTGAAGTCGGGTCTCGTTTTTTCGTTTTGTCTCGAAAAAGAAGCCTTCTATCAACAGAGGATCTTTTTTTGTACATAATTGAATAGCCTTTTATAGCATTGCATTAAATTTAAACATTTTTCGTCGTTGCTCACTTTTAAGTAAAATATAATCAATAATTTTCCCGTAACGGTGCCACTGGTAGAGAAAATGAATATTTTCGTACATCAGAAAATGCACCTTGATGCATAAAAGACGTGTACCAAATTACATACAGATGTATACAATATTGTCTTAGTTATCATCAATAAACTGAATATTTTTCAAAACTTATCACCCTGTATCTCAAAAGTTAAGACTTTTAGGACATACGTTCATATGAAGTTTTTTTTTAAATGAGTCAGAAATCACCCCCTCATATATTAGCATGTCTTTAAGGAACACCCTGTATAGGATGTTTTCGAAATTGTGGCGATGACTAAAATGAGGTATTCTATGAGACATAATGACACGATAACTCACAAGAAAAAATTGTTTTGAAAACGTTTAAAAGAATGTGCGCTCCCATCATAACTGCATCTTTCAACTATTATTGAACGTCCGGCAACGTCGCGGAAGCCATCGATACTTCCGGTGCTTGTGATCTCACCGAAAGCAAACGTTTATCTTCTAAAAATTTTTTTTTCGACAAAAATGTATTCTTTTATTTCGTTCTCCCATCACCAATTTAATTGATCGCCTCAATTTCGGAAACACTCCACCCCGTATACGTACTATCGATATCGGAATTAGTCACACTCGTTCGAGAATCAATCGGTTGAAAGGATGACGAAACTAATCAGTCATTTGAATGATAAATCGAACTTATCAGCAGTCTCGTTCTAGACTTCCTCGCGTACGGTCGATTCAAGTGATAATAAAAAAAGCACTCGAAGTATCATATCTTCTGCTTTTGTCATCTATCTCTAACATGTTCGCGGCATTAAAAAATACAATACTTACACAGTGAACTCGCTGGGAGTTGGTGGCGCCTCGGTGTTGCTGATGCAGTAGTCGTAGAGGGAAAGCCTTTCGTCAGATGAAAACGTAGACATTAGCCGATCGCTAGTCATCGGGTCAGGGTCAACTCCGTTCCATGCTAAATGAACATACATCAGACACTCTTTCTAAATTGCCAGTTCGTTTGAAAAGCTCCACATGCTCAAAAAATCATGGAGATCACGTAATCTGACGCCACTGATAACATTTTTATGATCCAGTAGGAGCAATAATCTATTGCTCGACTCAAACAAACAGAAAGCTTGATCTACTGCTCAACACAAACGAACATAAATTATTTCTGCACGTAACCTCATCTGAATAATTTCCAAATTCGTTTCGGTTTGCTTTCGATTGGAGGTTTTGATCGTTGGTGTCAGTAGAAAAAAAAAAGAGTGATTATCATGATAAATCCGTTGGCATAGTTCGAGGATTATGTTTGAATTCGCGTCTATTACCTCCGCAATGTTAACAATTTTACTCTTTTTTACCATATTTATTCATTATTGTTGCATTTTATTTTCATTTGTCATCCAACTTGATCAATTTGATTTGTTATTATTGCTCCCTAAAAATTCACGGAGCAAATATGTGATCAATTGCTGGGAACAACGAACATCAAATATTGCTGACATAACTTTTTAGCAGCGTGAGCATGACAAACGAACAGGCCTCAATATTCAAATGAAGATCGTTATAATTTTCTTTGGTTAGAACCTTTCTCAATTTTTGAGAGACAAACAATTCGATCGTTTTTTTATGAACTTGATATTTTCTCTTAGATACGCCGGCAACACAATTGAGTTAACAATGAAAGGCAGAATTATGAGAATATATTCAGAACAGAATGGTATTTTGCTAGATTATTCAAATTCCCGAAGCATAAAAAGCATTTATTATAAAGGAGTGATTTATTCTGACAATTACAGCCATAATTATTTTATGACAAACTGACAGACTTTGCTTCGCTATCCTGATCAGATTTATTGAAACCAGCAATGATTAGACTGATTACTGTAGGATCATGAAAGTTGTTGTCTCAAGCTCGGCTGTTCTTTCATAATGGGATGTTATATTGAGTCTTGGAATGATTGAAATGTAATCACTTGCTTAGAATCGTCTTTTCACGGGCACTTTTCCCAAGTGATGAAGGAAACTTGACCTATAGAGGTTTCTTAACATACCAACTCAGGAATGTCTTTGAATCGCCGTTTATTCAATACTTCATGTAAAGTACTGAATAATGCACAAGGAATTGATTTATCTAGATAATCACGAAATTGTTTCGGGATGTTGACTGGGGCAATCCATCTGAATGAAGGATTCATAATTTGACAAGCACGTAACTGTAGCAGCATCAATATGAGCAGATGATTTCACAAAACCTCAAAAATTATTCGAAAAACGCTAATTTTGTTGTCGAAAGTTCTGCTGCTCTTAACGCCAGGTGGATAACTTCATCAGGAATGAATTCGATCGTATAACTGCAGTATAAGAAAGGCCAGAATTTCCAAAACCAATTTGAAATATTGACATGGAGATTTGAGATAGTTGAATTGCAGAAGGATGAAAAGATTCCTGGGGTATACGGGAGTTCCTAAACTTTGTCGATTATGTAACACTCTTTTAGCCCACTTGGTGTGTCATAACTGGAAAACTACGAAAAGTTTCGAACAATGAATCTTAAACAAGAAGGATCTTTTGAATACTGTATTCCGATTGAATCGGATGATTTGCAAAACAGTTTTCGCATTTTAGAAAACGTCGAAAATTCGAGTAGTACACTTAATTCTTTGATCACTCTAGTTGGGTTTCTCCCAAACCATTATCTGATGTTGATGATTCATTTTCAACTATACAGTATGTTTTGGTTCACCGACGTTTATCTGAAAAGGGTGATAGGTAAGAACATTTCGAACATATTTAACCATATAAACCATCTAAATAACACCGAAAAAAAATCAAGGGGTGTTTCCTTGTGACATTCTAGCAAATGAAGTTCATATAAACATGTTTCCTAACTTGCTCCGTTTTTGAGATAGGTGCAGGATGTTGAAGTTGGAAGTATGAATTGTTTTTATTTATAACCCCCCTGGAGACTGAAAAAGACCCAAAATTTCAAAATGATTCTAATTGGGGTTATTGAGTATATTCGAATATTTATTGTTTCCTCAAAAACTAAGCTATATAGATACAAAAATCACACGGAGGAAAAAAAAGTTGTTATTTCAATAGTTCAATCTAATGAAAATATGAAACTCAGAAAAACCGGTGGTGTACATAGTTCACATATTTTTTACCCTTAGTTATATTACTGATGAATAATAACTCGAATAATAATGTTTCAAAAATAGTTTCAGGTTAAATATTTTGAGAAAATAGAGAAACTGTGAATTTTAGTCATTGAAACATTTGAAAATAGAAATTTGTAATAGCTCATAGTTTTTGGGCTATCTGAAGGTACCAAAAAACGAAATAAAAAATCCAGGTCCGTATTTAAAAACAGTAAGTTGATGATGGTTTCTGGAAGACGAAACGTCAGATTTCAAATTTGATAACGCCATGTTGTAGGGAAAAAAAGTGGCCATGATAATGTGTTATTCATATCGATTAATTTCTTCTAATAACGCAAAAAAATAAAAACGATTTTATGGAATTTCGATTTTTTACGGATATCTCCGAAAGTATTCGGAATTTTCCAAGTTTCAGAACGGCATTTTGTTGAGCATCGAATTGCACAACTTTGCCATGATTTAACCGACCCTGTATCTCTTACGGTTTACGAGATCCCAATGATGAGGCTCGAATTCCAGCCACCCTGTACAATGGCATTAACCATGAATATCGATAAACCCAGTGACGCCATTGAAATATTATTTCGAATCTAATTGCACTAGAAGAAGCTCCATATTACTAGGAACAAAACCACAACGTTTTATTGAAATTGATGAAGACAATTGAGAAATGAGTAGAAAAAAGATGTGTCATTGAAATATTAATAGACTAAGTACATATATGTTTATATGACCTTTATCTCCGAAAATGTCACAAGGAATCACCCCTTGAATTTTTTCGGTGTTATTTAGATACACCCTGTATACTGTTATACAAAGTGTTACGAATTTGTAGATATCATCGTTTTGTCAAACAATCAATCTGATTGTTCATTTTTTTCTCAAATAGTTGAATACGTATTTCATTGATATCGAACACGTACTCAATGGTAATGGAATATAAATGTGATAAAAAAATGCTTTTACTCGTTAAACTTCAAGAAACGATCTTCTGTAACATCCAACTTCGAATTCATAAGTGATGATTTCTCGTAATATGTTCAAAATCACATTACCTACCACCTCCTTCCAGATATACATCGGTGAACCAAACACCCTGTACATGGATCCAGTTTGCAGGTGGTTATACGTTACCACAATTCAAGCACAACTCGTCAGAACTAGAGTGCCTCGAACATCTCACTTCACGCCCTTTAAAGAGTGTGGACACGCTTGTCACCACTGACAAGTTCGAATTGTCATCATTCTCAGATTTGATGAGTCATCTCTGAAATTTGAATAGGTGTCCCGCGAAAATGTTTTCGAATATATCTTGTTCAATAATGAATTGATCGATTCTAAGAATGATGGTTAACATCTATGTGAGTCTGAGTTGCCCAAATACATGTCAGACATGTCAAATGTTCGTTGACGCTTCAATTTCCAATATTCATTTCATGAAATAATATTGATATAACTACACAATAAGCATGATGTGCCTTTGGCGTTACGCCAATGTTAGGGTTTCAAATAAAAATATGTATGCACTCGTTCAATGAAGGGGTACAGAAAAATTACATTCTATCTCTTATAAAACATATTTGAGAGAGTTTTTGATTGCCGACCGGTTGCGACCACTTGGACCACACTTCGACCGCAGGGTTTTTAATTGATTGATCTCCAAATGGTAACGTTTTTTTTTTGAAGACCAGGACCGACCGATCCAAGACCACATCGCCCGGGCTTCTTGATGGTCGATGTGGCTCATGCGATATAAAATATAACCTCAAAACAATCCAAAGATGGATGAACATCTATGAATGCAGGTATGGAATCATGGAAGCAGCAATGAATTTCCAATGTTAAGGTTAAGCTGAACTGGATTTAGTCTATTGGTTTCAAAGAATCCAGAGTGGGCTGAAGAACATAATATATTAACCGACACTAAATGTCGTATTAATAGACGATCTAAACTGCTATTAATTTTTCATTATTTGATTATCAAAGATGGACGTACACGTCCAAAAATGGACATCCGATGTACGATAAAAAATGTTCTTCCACTTGTATGTCCAGATAGTGGTGTTCAACGGACGTCCATTTAAAGTCCTGAACGAAGCTGCAACCTCGAAATAGGGGCCAATCTTCAGTGAACGTATTTTTGCAGAGCAATATATTAGGTGGGAGGAAAAACTGCACAAAATATTAATAGAATTTGAAGTTATCCTTAGGAGGTTGCTGAACCCCTGTGACCCCTCTCGGCCCTCTGCTCTATATTACTCTTACTCCTTTTCCACAAGTTTTAGGATTGTATTTACTATTAAATTGACGTTAAAAAGATGATATTCATACTGTATAAACTCAACTGAAACAATACTCTATTAGAATTTCATAATACAGGGTGTTTAAAAACACCTGGCCCCCTTGCAAGGGTAGGTAGAACACTACAAAATAAGTTGGATTTGCCCAGTAAAAAAATGTCGTAACGGCATCCGTTTCCAAGATACAAGGTGTTGAAAAAATTATTTTTTACACATTTTTTATGATTATGTCGAAACTATTAGCAACATTGTAATGAAATTTTGTATGGATGATTTTTGGAATCTGACACATGGCATGAATTTGTTTTTCTATCTGACTCTCATAGATGGCGCTAGTTACACGGTTCGTACCTAGTAGTGTTAAACATAACTTTTTTGAGGTTAGATTTTTCGATCCGAATATGATGAGAACTTGAACATTATTCAATTTCACACCAAAAAGGTACTCTTGGTGAAACTCGATACTGTGTTCCGTTGTCGAAATATTCCGATTTGAAAATGATGAAGTGATAACTGTTGCTGATATAAAGCTATGTATTAGAGTGAGTATTATAAAAAATCATCACCTATTTATTGCAAACCAAAAAAACCAATACATTTTTAATGCTGAACTTATTGATTTAACAATGATTCACAAGAATAACATTGAAACAAATTTTACTAAAAACATGAATTACATTGTTTTGTTGTATCAAGCAAAAAGTCTATGCCACAGAGGTAAATTCACGTCTGGAGTTGCAAGTCACAATTGAACATCACTTAAGATGACCTTACAGCTGATCCTCAGCCGTTTAGAAAAATAATGCTTTCATAAAAAAAATATCAATCCCGTATTCGTGGAAACGGAGGACATATTGAATACTTACTCTGATTCAATATTTTATGTTTCTAGTCAAATATTTCTCAATTTTCTTCGTGATTCTTTGTTCAATCAATAACCACAGCACAAGAATGATGTTATCGTTTTTGAATCTGAATAAACAAGTAATTAATCCCAATAAAATTCATTTTATAGGAGCATCAGCTATTACTCGGTATACGAACCGTGTAACTAGCGCCCTCTATGAGAGTCAGATATAAAAACGAATTGATGTGTCAGGTTCCAAAAAACATCCATACAAAATTTCATCACAATGTTGCCAGTAGTTTCGACGTAATCGTGAAAAAGGTGTAAAAAATTCATTTTTTCAACACCTTGTATCTTGAAAACGGACGCCTTCACGACATTTTTTTACTGAACAAACCCAACTTATTTTGCAGTGTTCTACCTACCCTATCAAGGGGGTCAGGTTTTTTTGAAACACCCTGTATATCAAGTTCATAAAAAAATTCAGTGAACTTGAGACTTCAAAGAAATTTCTGAAGTTGGTTGTTTTTGATTTCAATTTACGAATTTCTTAGCAGATAGCTTTGTTTTGTTCTTAGAACCACTTGACGATTCCTAGACTTATAGTCACCCTTCAGATTCTCTGAATGACACATTGAATTTTCTAGCAGACAAATGTTCAGCATGAAAATGCGCAACTTTGCCCTAATTTAACCAACCTCCTATCTCTTATAATAACTGAGATCCCCATGGTGGAGCTGGAAAAACGGACAAAGATTTATATGTTGAAAAAAATTGATATCTACAAGTGAATACACCAATAGCTCATAGCACATTTCAATTTCATTGTCCTATAAATCTTTGTATGGAAATGAAGAAAATTTGTTATAATTTTTGAGAAATATGTGTTAACCAATTGTGTTGAGTGATACTTTGAATTACTAAAATTCAAATTTTGTCAAAACCATGGGAGTAATCAAATTTCATCAAGTGCCTTTTTGTAGTAAACCAGTTATGCAATCCAAATTTCATATTCAAACCACTTTGGCATGGAAGTATCAGAATGATATTTACCAATATCATGTAATAGGTTTCATTACCCAAAGGAACTATGCCAACATACCAAATTTGTGTTAAATCTCATGAGTTGTTTAAAAATATGAAGCAAAAACAATTCGAAAATTGTAACTTCAGAGCTTTCTAGTGCCCAAACTAAGTAACTTTGTACTGAGGTAAGTTTGCTTGTATCAAATTGTTTTGGTCTGAGGAATATGTGGTAAGTTTTTGTGAAGACCTTTTAGGGACACCCTGTATATTTTTTACTGTTTGATTATTTTTGGGTGATGTCATTAATACAATGTTTGAATCTAGGTTTCCATTCTCTTTGATTGTGGTACATTGTTTATTAATTGTAACTGTTAAATCAGAGAAATTATCATTATTATTATCCAGTTATGATATCAATCATAAGTATCAATTTAAGACCCAATTTTTCACTGACCAGACAAATTTTACCATTACAAAATTTGGTGATTAGAAGAAATTTTAAGAATATCCTCAGCTTCATACATTTATCTCAGTATTTGAAGATAATTTTTAATAGTAAATCTTCTCAAAATTATATGTCCTATAGCCAGTATCAGTATGTAATATAAGGTACTAGCTTGCTGGACATCCTGTATAAATGTTGTAAGACTTGTAAGGGATCAAACTGAGTATGGTGCACTTTAGATTCAGTATTTGTGGTTAATTCCAAATATCTAAATTTTATTGATGAAAAAAACAGGCATGGATAGGCAGGAGAATGTTTGTCTTGTTATAATTGGTGAAGGTAAATTTCTTGAAAATAGAGGAAATACTTTCAAAATAATTGAGATTTGATTTTTTCATATTGCATTTCTAGTTCTCAACTTTTGCCTCCCATTTTGCTTTTCAGTGCCCTACTAACTATCTTTTGCATTTTGTGAACCATTCAAAAGAATTGCTGATATCATATTCTAAATCTACCTTGAAGATAGTTGATTCTTCATGATACTAATATCACAAAATAAATGTAGAAACCCAGTACACACCTATCAAGTATGGTAAAAAGGATATCTAAAAAAGGATATCAAACTGATATTATTGCACATAAAAAATTCAGTAATGCTTTGTCAGCAGTAAATACATATGTAAAGTCTGAAAAAAATCACTAATGTTATCAACTTTTGCAATTGAAATGAAACTACCAACAAACCTTGTTTGTACTTCATGTTGGAAATACGAGCTCCATTCAAAATCTCAATTTTCTTTGCATTATCTGGAAAATAAAATAATAATTTAAATACATTTGTTCACATCATTAGGAGATTCAGTACCTAAAGTTATGGAACTAGTAGCATTATGAAGTGGTTCAGATAAGAAATTGTCTCCAGGCTCATAACCTGCTGTCCTAATACAGCAAGATTCCAAATGTTTATTGATTTTTTCAAAATGTATCTTGTGCCTGGGATTCAATGGACAACTAATCACATCCTTCTTCTGGAATTGATGAATTAATAAATTCGTTCATATCACTATGAACATAATTTTGTACTTACTTCTTTTACTTTTTTTGCTGTCCATCCTAAATACCCCAAAATTGATTCAACTTTGTCTTTAGATGAGGTTATGTACTGATCCAAACTGTGGAGCTGTTTCTTTCTAACTTCAATGTTAATATTCATTTTTGAAAAAAAAAAACGAACAGTAATGACGAACTTTTCACAAACTTCAAGACATTATCATCTGGTTTGTAATCAGAATACAAAATGACCAAATAAAATTAATGATAATATGAAAACCAAAACTGAAAATAAAAGCAAAGAGGAGAGGAACCTATATTCTTTGATAAAAGCAGAAGCACAGAGTGAAAGTGAAAATTCGAAAATTGAAAAGTCAAGTGTCATATTTGTCATAGGTCATAGTGTCAAGTGTCAGGTGAGTCAGGTCACTGGAGTGAAGTGCCTATATATTTTGAACCATTCCCAACACGTGGGATGTTAATAGCGTTTTCCACTCGCCGATTTACAGAGCGCACTAGCACAGAGCAAATACAAGTGGTACTAGCTCGGATCTTCCATAAAGTGCGGTTCCAGCACAGAGCAGTGGAATAGAAATAGAGAGTTGGTGCGATCTTCTTATCATTAGAAATTTCAGAATAATTGTTTTGTCAATCAAAAAGTTGAATTATTGAAAGTATATTTTGGTTCTGTTGGTCCACATGAAATGGATTCATCTACCTCGTATTGTGGTTTCCCTGGGAACACTGCCAGAAACCAACCAGAATCAGTATTATATATATGAATGTTCATTGTCAATGATGTTCAATTATTGAATCATTCGACAATAGTGATGTAGCATTGAAGTGTCGTTCACGAAGTCAGTATATTTTTCACCATTACACTGATTCAACAATCATATTATGTTTGATACCTGCACATCTGAATAGCTGTCTTTAACTCTTAGGTAATGTTGAATCTTCCGTAAACGCTGTTTCGTAATGAAGTACTTCTCTATCTCAATCATAATTTTCTCATTATCGCTCATTATATCCGAAGTATCTATGATTTTGGAAATTATTGTGATAATAGTAATAAACTTCAATGACATTCATAATTATTCGAATTCCAAACATTTTCCAACTCGTGACTCGAATATTTGAGGTTATGTGTATCGCACCGTTGTACAAGCACAGTTCTGAAAACTCGAACTCTGAGCGGGCATCGAGCAAGTTTGAAAGCCAGTGGAAATCATTTCTCGACAAAAGTTCGCTCCTGAAATTCTCAGTGGACCACGCAAAACGCACTCAGTGCCGAAAAAGCTCGAGCTAGTGCCACGAGTGGAAAACGCTACTATTCGTGATTTTTTCATATACGTATCAATAAACAATACGGATCATGACGGGTGCCAGGATGAAGCCAAAAATATGAAACAAATGAATATCCATGAGGATTTGGTGGCATGAGTGGCATAGTAGGCATCAAAGACATGCGTTTCGGTGGACAATGACGTTTACTAGCCTTTCAATGTGGTTGACTAATCTCTGCTTTCAATCAAAGCAGTATGTGTCTGATCGTTTCAAAAGTTTTCCTTATGGATAGTCATTTGTCTTCAAAAATTGGCTTCATGTTTCGCTATGGAAACAGATAGAGATTATCCGTATTGATTATTAATACGTATATGGATTTTTCATGAGTATTCCTCGCATTGTGGAGGCTGGAGTTTTATTCTGGTCCACTAATAGCATGGCGTCAGCCCACTGTGATCATTTGTGATTTGGTGATTTAGGCTTTCAAGAATGTTTTTCTCAGCCAATGAGCATGCGTATCACTTGATTCACTGTGATTAATCTGACAATGAGGTTTGGAAATGGTTCGAAAACTTTAGGCTCTCGGCTTGAAGTCTCTGTTTATGTTCGGTGACCGTACCGTATCGATGAACGCTTATCATTCACGGCCGGTGATGCAGATTGCAGCAGTGTTGCCAACATGCAAACTGTCAAAATCACGCATTTCTTGTGAAATTTTCCCGCCTTTTCCCACCACATTCAAATTTATCGAATAATTTACGAAGGAATTCTTTTCGAAAAATAAAGATAGGCATAATCTATAGAAATGAAGGAAAGTTAGTATAATTTTGATATAAATGACGCCTCAAATGAAAATTTTATCTTGTCAACATATTTTTTTCTATGACGGGAAGAAAGTTCGAAGTTTCATCTTTGTTGACAAGTTATAAAATGTCACTTTCCATTAATTATTTTTTTCCACTGGAAAAAAGTTACTATTTTTCACCCGGATATATGTCACATATATATACACTTGTTGAACTATTGAGTTTCGAAAAATGAGCCAATAACACCGCCTCGGAGAATGTGTACTGCAAGTCCTCTTATCTTCCATTCAACTTCGAAGCTACGTAAATTGATATATCGAAGACTGGAACCTTTGGCACGATAATACACTACACTGTTTTACCACTAACCAAACCGATTTTTTAACGCCTCGACACGTGTTTCGCTAACTCTATGTTAGCATCTTCAGGAGAAGATTAAAACTGTTTTAATCTTCTCCTGAAAGATGCACATAGTTAGCGAAACACGTGTCGAGGCGTCAAAAAATCGGTTTGGTTAGTGGTAAAACAGTGTAGTGTAGTGTACGTAAATTGATAAAAAACCACTAAATTCGTAATTTTTTAAAATCAAATAACAAAATGAGAATGACAGATATTTGATTACGTCAAAGGAATGATAAAGATGCCTGCAACGCAGGTTTCATTCCCGTTAAACTTCAATATCACGCCGACAATTTTCTGATTTTGATATTATGTAATATCTTCTCAATATTTATTGAATCATCGTTTTTTCTGTCACAGAAAAAAATAATGTATTATACACTATACACGGGAAAAATATAAGATTTTAGCTCACGGTTTTTTGTCTCCCTTCACAACGCGTCTGGAGACTACGAAAGCTCTGGATCGAGTGGCAATGGAAAAAAATAAAAAGTCGAAATTTCGACTTAGGAAGTCGAAATTTCGTCTTACCAACTCGAAATTTCGTCTTACTAAGTCGAAATTTCGTATAAGTAAGTCGAAATTTCGTATTTGTATGAACCGGCTTTATTGATGGTTCTTGGCCATTACAAAAGACATCTAGATCTATAGGTATCCACGACGGATGCCAGTTTTGGTTCACTGTTTTTTTAATTTTTCAACTCAGATCTCTATTATACAGGGTGTCCCGAAATTAGCCTGCTAAACTTAACCAGCAGCTTCTTTGACCAAAAATAGGAAGAAAAGTTTCAATGAACATGAGTCGAGAAATGTCTCCTAAGGGAGCTATGGCCCCCTGAAAGGGGGCTCCTGAAGATGATATTTCTTGAATATTTCCGGAACGCCACGTGATAAAATGATGCAATTTGGTATAAGAACTAAACTTTCCATGCCCAATGCTGTGAACATAAAATCATTCGAGAGTTTTATTTAGGAGTGTAAAATACAAGGTGGGACTACATTAAATATTGCTCAAACTTTTTCGTATGCATATTTTTTTACAATTTAGTCTCGGATTATAAAAATCCACACCATTTCACAAAAATAAGTGCTCTTGTTCCGCATTGATCAGATGTATCATTTTCGATTGAAATCGATTTAAAAATATTGATGCATTCACATCTTATGCATAACGTTGCCAATTTTCAAATCATAGTGGCTATAAAAAAATCAAGTACTTTCTACTCACCAATAAACAATCTCAAAAATGCGCAAAAAATAGGAAAAGGATGATGAAAAAGCTACTTCAATTTTTGTGCATTTTTTTCCATCTCCACTATTATGCCTCATTGCAATGGTATGCATAATATCTGAGATGTAACAAAATATTCTTAAATTGCTTTAACTCGATAACAATACATCATCTGATCGTCACGGAACAAGAGTACCGTTTTTCTGTAAAGAGGTGTGAAATTTTATAATCCGAGATCAAATTGTCGAAAAATATGCAAAAAAAAATTTGGAGCAATATTTTTAATATATAGTCCCACCCTGTATTATACACTCCTGATTGAAATTTTGGAATGATTTTATTCACACCGCTTTGGGCATAGAAATTTCAGTTCTTGTACCAAAGGGCATTTTTTTATTACATGGAGTTTCGGAAGTACTCAAGAAGGCATTTCTCGTCCCATGTTCATTGACAGTTTTCTTTCTATTTTTTGTAGTAAAAGCCGCTGGTGAAGTTTGGCAGGCCAATTTCGGGACAATCTGTATATATATGAGTGTGAAGATTTTGAAAATGAGGACATATTTTCAACTCACTCTAATTAATGAAGAGATACTATAAGTACACAGTATACGCCATTCTGTGGCTGTGAACTTAGACAAAATTTCGAGTTACTAAGACGAAATTTCGACCTCCTAAGTCGAAATTTCGACTTTTTATTTTTTTCCACTGGCACTCCTGAGCTTTCGTAGGAGACAACACAACCTGGAGCTAAACTCTTCTCCTTATTCTTTCCCTTGAATAATAAATATTTATTTTCAAAAGAACAATTAGTATTAAAATTCACAAACACAAAACACATCAGTACACAAACTTTCACGTTAGTGGTCAGTGTCAGTATACTCACTATTTAGAGCGTATAATGTTTTGTTTGATTTGTGAATCTACGGTTCCATTTAGGTTTATATCAACTGGCACGGAACACAAGACATAATTTAGTCGCAAAATGTCCATTATTGAACCTCATGGAGATACACGATTTCCCGCTTATTTTCCAGAAAATCTGTGATAATTTATCTTACCAAAAATTCCGCATGCGTTCAGATTTCCTGAAATGCGGGAAATTTCCCACCTGTTGGCAACACTGGATTGCAGACCAACATGTGATAATGTGATTGAGTGAGACTGAGATGCAGATTGCAGTGCATATATATGGGAAGGAAGAGTATAGAGTACAGTTGTATAGACTGAAGAAAAAAAGGTAAGGTTTGTTGCTCTCTTTCTTTTTATACAGGGTGTCGAGAAATAACATAGAAAGATTATTTGCAACCACAGATTCTAGAAACAAAAATGGTGAAAAAAGTTTATGTGATCATGGGCGTAGAAATGGCCCCCTCGGGAGTGTAGCGGGATTCATAGACTGAAGCGCAGCCGCTGCCGCTGCGATTGCAGTTCCTGCAGCAGTTCTGAAAAAATTAGTCAATTTATCCTTCATTCCTGAGGCCAACTGTTTTTCTTCATCAATAGAATTTTGTTATTTTTATCTTTTTAATTGTATAGATGGGGAGAGCTCTACCAAATTTAGGAATACTCCTATATCAATGTTTTTCATTTTCACTATAATTTTCCAACATTCAACAACGGAAAACCAAATTTTGATGAAAATTATAACATAACCTGATAACCTCAAGACTCTAGTAAATTTTTTGACACAAAAACAAAAGATACTGTCTACACGACCGCCGCGGCGGTTGGATGCTGATTCATAAACGACCGCCGCGGCGGTTGGATACTGATACATAAACAACCGCCGCGATGATATTTCTTCCTTCTTCATAGAGAGTACTTCCGAGCAAAGCGATAGATAAGTTGAAAATTCACCTGACCACCACGCCTGTGGCTCGGGTTCAATCCCTACTAGGCCTTATTCAAAACTTTTTTTCACAAATAATTTCTCGAAAAATATACTTCTCAGGAGAAAGGTTCATTTAGGTGAGTTAGGTCAGTTTGTTTGAAAAAAGTAGTCTTCTTTTTGATGCAGAAACGATATTTTCCTTCCTCATGTCTCACGGCGGTCTTCTATATAAAAATAGGTAACCGCCGGCGGTTGTTTATGTTTCAGTATCCAACCGCCGCGGCGGTCGTGTAGACAGTGCCAAAACAAAAACACAGAACTAAAAATGTCAGCTTCAGGATCATCTTGATTTATGTTAAAGTTGGTCAACTTATTCGAGGTGCAGCGGCGGCGGCGGCTGCGGCGAATCTATAATCGTATACATGTTTACAAGACAAGAGTCTCGAGATCATACCCGTGTGTTCACCGAACACGCCCGATCGTTCCCTAAGCGGTGGGGAAACGTAAACGGGCAGCAGTAACTACGTTATGAATATTGGCGCTTGCCTGAATTATTTTGGAGTCAAATTTGTCAATTTAATGTACTTCGAAACGGAACACTATTAGTTGTGCCTTCTTGTTTTACATATATTATGTTAAGAATTGATTAAAACGATTCTAGAAGAGTGTGTTTTTATACATTTAATTCTTCATCAAAAAACATCATACAGAATTTTTATTCTTTCAACTGAACTGTTATTTTTGTTTTAACAACTTCCATGACAACTCTATTTTTGCCTTCTAGACTAGACATGAAAAGTATATCAATAATATTGACAGGTTTGCTTGAAGTTACAGTGTGTTCTATATATTTCAACACCCACCTTCAAACCTGGCAGTCTATAAAAATAGATTTTAGATTTTCAATTTTTCACATTCAACAATTTCACAAATCGACTGAACTTATCATAACATAAAGATTTGGTAAACACATCAGCTAATTGTTCATTTGTACATATATAATCAACTTTAATAATTCCTTGACTGATCAAATCTAAAATAAAATGTAGTTTGACATCAATATGTTTACATCTCTTATTATTTTCAAAATTTTGAAGCAGTTTGATGGTAGGTACTTTGATTATCTTCAAATAACTGAATTGGGAGAGAAACATCAATTTTCAAATCATTCAACAAATTCTTTATGTGAATTAACTCACAAGATGCACTACAAACTGCAACAAATTCTGATTCAGTACTTGACAGTGTTACAATATTTTGTTTTTTAGAACTCCAACTAATCAAATTATCAAATAGTTTGAAACAATAACCACTTATAGATTTTCTATCATTAACATCATTTGCCCAATCGGCATCACTATAACAAACTAACTCATTATCAGAATGATAGAAGTGCAATTTATAATCAATAGTTGATTTTAGATATTTCAATACTCTCAAAAGATGCTTGAAATGCTCATCAGTAGGACAATCTTGAAATTTTCCAAAATAACCAACACTAAAGCAAATATCAGGCCGTGAGCCCATCATGATATACATAAGGCTACCTAAAAGTTCTTTATAAGGTAATACAGTATGATCATTTGAATTAGAATTCCTTTCCAAATTCAAATTTATTTCCATAGGTGTTTTGAAATTTTTACAGTTTTCTACATTGAACTTTTTGATTATATTTAGAATTGCTGAATATTGATCAAGAGTCATCTGTTTATTTTCTGGATTTCTACAAATTCTTATTCCTAAAAAGTTATACTGGCTGCTACTATTCATTTTCCTCATCTTGAAACTTTCAAACAGCTTTTCTTTCAAATAGCTCATAAAATTATTGTCATTACAAGTTATCAGGATATCATCTACATAGAGGAGTAAGTAACATCGTATATCACTTCCAAGAAAAGAATATAAACAATAATCAGATTTTGATCTCTCAAAACGTAAATTTGTCATGAAACTATTGAATTTTTCATTCCATGCCTTAGGGGCTTGTTTTAAGCCATAAATGGCTCTTTTCAATAAACACACTTTATTTTTATCATTTTCAGAAACTTTGAGACCCTCTGGAATTTTCATATACACTTTTTCTTTGATGTCACTATTGAGAAATGCATTTTTGACATCCAATTGTTCTAGAAACAGATTATATTTAGTCACAATAGTTAAGAAAATTCTCATTGTCGAAAGTCTTGCAACAGGAGCATGTATTGATGAAAGATCATCAATATTATTCTGCTCAAAACCCCTCGCTACCAATCGTGCCTTATATACAGGTTTATTCTCATCGTTTTCTTTAACTCTGAAAACCCATCTATTACTTATTATTTCCTCATAACCTGATGGGTCAACAAGTTCCCATGTTTTATTTTCTTTTAATGCATTTAATTCATCTTCAATTGCTTTTTCCCACTTATCCCACTTTGACCCATCTTTAGCTTCTGAATATGACTTGGGAAAATCTGAAAATTCACTTAGCAATGCTAAACAGCTCATATTCATTTCAAAATCATCAAATCTAGATGGAATTTTTCTTTCTCTTTTCAACCTAACATTTTCTTGATTTCTTTCATTATTACCAGGCACTTCAATCACATTAGGCTCATTCAGAAGTTCATTCTCAATATTATCAACATCATTATCATCATCTCTTTTTTCAAGATGAAAATCTATTACACTATCACACTCTTGTACTTCCTGATTTGCACTTCTCTTACTCTCAACTTCATTACTTTTTTTATATAAAAAATTATTTTCATCAAATACAACATTTCTACAGTGAATGCATTTATTTTTATTTTCTTGCCATAACTTATAACCACTGTCTGTATACCCAATAAATCTACACTTGACTCCTCTATCATCTAACTTCGTTCTTAAAGCATCAGGAACTCTAGCATAAGCTATGCAGCCAAAAACACGCATATTTGAAACATTTGGTTTTTTATTCAACCACAATTCATAGGGCGTTTTTTCTCTAATCAAACAAGACTGTGTTCTATTTGCTATATAGGCTGCCATTAGCACAGCATCCTCCCAAAAAAACTTATTTACATTAGCCTGCATTATCATTGATCTTGCTAGATTCATTAGAGTCTGATTCATTCTCTCAGCAACTCCATTGAGTTGAGGAGTATAAGGTGGAGTGTAAGAAATATGAATACCTTTTTCTGCACAAAAATCTAACAATAACTTCGATCGATATTCACCTCCATTATCACACTTTAGTTTGAATATCTTTTTACCACAAAACTGTGACGTTACTTTGGACTCATAATCTTTGAAGCAATTAAAAACTGCATCTTTACTTTTAATAACATAAACCATTACAAATCTAGAAAAATCATCCACAAAAGTAACAAAATATCTATTATCATTACGAGATATTGGTGTGATAGGACCACATACATCTGTGTGTATCATTTCTAAAACTCTACTTGATCTTGATACTTTTGAGTAATATGGAAAACATTTTTGTTTAGATTTGACACATATTTCACAAATTTCATCATTTTTCATCTCTGTAAAATGTACACTATCAACCAAATTCATATTTCTGATTTTTGATATGGAATTATAATTCAAATGACCATATCTTTTATGCCAACAGTTCTTTAGTTTCAGCTAAATTTGCATATTCATTACTTTTGACATCAAAACATATTTTATACAAATTATTTGTGCGATCACCCTCAACATATTCATTTTCACCTCTCTTAATAATAATTTTGCCTTTTGAACAATAGATTTCAAAACCAGCTTTTTCAATAGCAGAAATTGACAATAAGTTTACCCTTAACCCTGGAACACACAATACATTTTTCAAAGTAATTGGTATCTTTTTATTCTTCACCTGACTCACTACCTCTACATCACCTACACATGTTGCCTCCATAAACTTTCCTTTTTCTGCTAGCTGTATCGATCTTGGTTCTGCAAATTTCCTTTTATTCACCAATCCATCTTCATTATTCATGTAATGATGTGTAGCACCAGAATCTGCATACCATACTGAGCTGTTTGCTGAAAGCTCAGTAGAAAACTGACTGGACATAGCAGAAAAAGCAACATCTTCATCTTCTGACTTTGACACACCTGAAGCCTCGCCTTCACCCTCAGCATAATTGGCTTTATTACTTCTATTTGATTCTTTTCTCCTGTTATGATAACATTGTACTGAACGGTGACCAAATTTATTGCAAATGAAACATTTGATGCCACAAACATTCTTCATATGGCCCGTTTTACCACATTTAAAACATTTAACTTGTTTCTGTGTGGCCGCAAATGACTGAGCTACATTATCTTTCATAAATTTGTTCGAATTAGCATTCATATCGAATTCTAATAGCTTACTTTTCACAAATTCCAACTTCAAATCATTTTCTGACATTGTTCTGATAGCTGTCACCACA